TATCGTGTTGTGTTTCTGTTAGTAATGAGTAAGACTATTATTGTCATGAATAATAAATAAACAAACTATTGTCAACAATCAGAAAGTTTGTACGTTTCATTCTATCAACAGACCCAATACCAGCAAGAAGAAATCCAGTAACACTATCTTCATCTCCGATAATAGCAATTTGACAATCTCCTTTTCTGGCTTGAGAAGCTTGGTTTTGGGCTTTTTCTTGAGAAGTACTCATTTAATAATATGAGATCATAGTTTAGATTTTATTCTTCAAGAAAAAACATATTTTGATTTTTGTGCATGAAATAAAAAGCTAGTCATTCGGGAAATTTAACTTTTAAAAATCTTTAAACAAAAAATAACAGAGAAAAGTAGTGTTTTTGTTATAAAAAAAAGGGTTATAATAACAAAAAATAATGAATTATATACTAAATAATGTTATTTGTTTACCAAAGCCCAACACGAGCTTTTGCATTTTTTTGTTTCCATTGAGGTTGTTTTGCAAAAGAGTCTCGAGACATTCCAAAAACTTTTTCAAAAACGTTGTCTTCAAGAAAAGATTCAAGTGAACCACAAGCAACTGTAGTTAATAATTTAGGTTTTTTTTGCAATTCAGCAAGAGAATATTTACGAGTAAGTTGAAGAAAAATATCGTTAACATTTTCAACGACTTCATTTCTTCTTTTTAATTCTTGATTTCCAAAGAACAATCTTTTAAACTCTTCTGGTTCTTCATCTGGTCTAATAAATAAAGGATTTAGAGTGATATTTTTTATTTTAGCTGATTCAACATAATCCATCATTGTTTTTAATAATTTAATAATTTCTGTTAATCTAACCTCTAGTTTTGCCCAAAAATATAATTTATTTCCAAATGTAACAACAATAATTCTTTGATCTTGTAGTGTTTGAAGATTTAATTCATATAGTCCATCCCATTCAATAGACCCTGTACATGCACTTATAGTAAATGCATGTGGAAATTCTGGTAATGAAGTTTTAAAAAGATAATTAAATTCTTTATAGTTTTGGTACTTTTGAATATTTTCAATAGTATCTTTATAACAATCAAATACAATTTTACTTCTTAATATAATTTCTTTAATTTTTTGATATTCAGGACAATATTTTCCTTCTACAATAATTCCTTTTCCATTAATATTAATTATATAACTTCTATTATAATCAATCAAATTTAAGTGATTAATTTGTATTATTCTAATACCCTCAGTTCCTCTTTCTTTTCTAATTTCATATAACTCATATTTTTCTGGGTAAATATTTTTTTTAATAACAATACCACCTTTGTGCATTGCAATAAATTCTCTTTGTTCAGCCCCTTCAACAACCCTAACATGAACTGCATCTAATTGATGTTTTTCAACATAATCAACAGTAAGTGCAGCAGCCTTTCCTCTATGAAGAATTGAAGCATTTTTTCCTAACCAAAAGAAAAGGGCGTGTCTAAATAAATTTTTCCAAGGATAGGTATAATGAAATACATAACACTCATTACTTCTTAATATAAAACGATTTTTTTCTTCTTCAACTAATTGAAGCGAAATATTTTCAACTTTAAATTTTTTAAATATTCCTTCTGAACTAAATTCTGGTACTTTTTTTTCTTTATATTCAGTTTCTTCAAATAATACTGCAACATTAAATGGTGGTAACTCTTTTTTTATAGTTATTGTTGTATTCAAAACTTTTGGTCTTGAAATAATTGGTTCAACCCAATCACTAAATAATTGTTTAAATAAAAGTGGTTCTCTTGATTGAAAACAATTGCTAATTTTCCATTTTTTAATGACCCACATAATTTTGCACATGTCTCTCTTGCATTTTTGATGTTTT